TCTCCAAGAGCTCCAAGAGGTAGATGTATTACTGTCAAAGTCTACAATCAAGAGAAGACTTCACGAGAGCGGGTTCGCCACCTGTACCAGAATGACGGGAAGAAAAAAGTATGGAGAAGGCTTGGAACAGCTCATGATCCAAAGCATACAACGTCATTTGTGAAGCATGGTGGAGCAGTGTGATGGCATGAGCATGCATGGCTTCCAGTGGCACTGGGTTACTGGTGTTTATTGATGACGTGACAGAAGACAGAAGCAGCCAGAAGAATTCTGAAGTGTATAGGGATATACTGTCTGCCCAGATTCAGTCAAATGCAGCAAAGTTGATTGGGCGGCACTTCATAGTACAAATGGACGATGAGCCAAAACATACAGCAAAAGCAGCCCAGGCGTTTTTGAAGGTAAAAAAAGTGAAATATTCTTCAGTGGTCATGTCAGTCTCCTAATTTTAACCAGACTGAGCATGCATTTCACTTGCTGAAGACAAAACTAAAGGCAGAAAGACCCACAAACAACAACTGAAGTCAGCTGCAGTAAAGGCCTGGCAAAGCATCACAAAGGAGGGAAACCCAGTCTCTGGTGATGTCCATGAATTCCAGACTTAAAGGCGCAATAGGAGATCTTTCATGGCTGTATTAGATCAAATGGGTGCTTCTACTAAATACTGAGCATTTTTCAGTTTTTCTTTTTTAATAAATCTGCAAAGATGTCAACAATTCTGTGTTTTTCTGTCAATATGGGGTGCTGTGTGTACATTAATGAGGAAAAAAAATTAACTTAAATGATTTTAGCAAATGGCTGCAATATAACAAAGAGTGAAAAATTTAAGGGGGTCTGAATACTTTCCGTACCCACTGTATATTTGGATACAGGCACAATTTTTATTATTTTAGCTGTTGATCGAAACATATTCGAGTTACATATTAATATGTATTATGTATTAATATGTATAATATTACATATATTATAATGAATATGGGCTTAAAGTGCACATTCCGAAATGATTGCTATCGGGATGTGAAGAGACTTTCAACCAGCATAACAAAAAATGTTTCTGAAGACAATCACCTATTACACCGTTAAGGCAGTCATTGCCTCCAAAGGATTCTCTACTAAATATTAAAAATGAACATTTTATTTATTTATGATTATATTTTTCCAATTACATTTGAGCCCCTGAAAATGGGAGGGACTGTGCATAAAAACGGTTGTAATTCCTATAAGCGTTTGTTATTTTTGTTCAACCCCTTGAATTAAACTTAACTTAATTTAGAAACTTAACTTATATACCGTATATATTGTATATATAAAACCTTATTCAAGACAGGGTTATTGTAATTAACTAAAATTAAAACCTTAAAAACATGTGTTACTATGCTGACTGTATTTAAAATAAAATCGAAAATATATTAAACTCATTTGTGTAATATATATATATATATATATATATAACAGTCATTTGTTGTTTACTATGGTATTGCCATTTTATACCTGTATAAATAATCAAATTATGACAGAAGGGAACCGGAGCCAGGTGGGACCCAGGCCACAGCCATGATGGCAGCCAATGGTGGAGCCGACGGAGGGAGAAGCCATGGTGGATGAAGAGCTGGCAGCTCCAGTTGGTCGACTGACGGCGGCGGAGAAGGTGGTGGTGGAGCCCAAGGCGGAGACGGAGAGCCTACGAGCCAGAGGGACGGCAAGGATCTGGAGGGCCAGTGTGGAGCCGCAGGCTCTGGTGACCGAGGCGGAGGCGGGCATCTGGAGGTCCGCAGAGGAGCCGGGGCAACTGAGGACCAAGGAGGAGCTGGAGGGAGGGAGGAGCCCAACGGAGCCGGTGGGACGGAATGACGAGGCGCAGCCGTCCAGAGGTGATGGCGGGTCGACGACCGACCAAGGCGGAGCCGGAGGGACGAGGAAGCCCTGTGAAGCTGGTGGGCCGACGGGTGACGAGGGAGCTAGGAGCTGAGGTGGAGCCGCTGGGACAACAGACCGAGGTGGAGTCCGGGACTCGGAGGCTGGAGGTGGAGACGAGGGATCCTCCAGCTCTGATGCCGATGGTGACTGGCAGACCCGTGGCGAGCCCACACCACAGATGGTGAGCTGAGGGTGAGCTGGAGGGCTGGCAGGAACCAGCGGGAGAGGGGCAGAGGAGTACTCAAAGTCCAGAAGAGGAGGTGGGAGAGGGAGGTTGGGTGGGATTTTAGGATATTACGAAAGTTCATCAGGTGGCAAAAGACATGGCATATCGGCATATTCATCCACATAATCCCCAGAGTCTTGTGTTTGCTCACCCCCAGTGGTGCAGTGGGCAGGGCTTTCCTCCACGCCTTCGCACTCCACTGTAACAACCACTGTCGCGAGCGATGTAGCCGGCTCTCGCACCTGGTTGGACGATTGAGGAGGCTCTGGCTCCGTGGCAATCCCCAGCTCAGTCTCTCCTTCTTGCGCTGTCTCGTGGGTTGTGATGGGCTCTGGCTCTCCATCTGCGGTGGGCTTGGGCTGAAGCTCTGCGAAGAGGGGTGATGGTGGGCTGGGCTCTGTGTCCGGAGTGGGACTGGACAGACACTCCTCTGCGGGGCCGATGGTGAATGGCGAGTTGTTGCTCACCAGCACCAACTCGACAAAGGCAGCGAATGAATCCCGAGGTCCACCTCCGGACAACCGCGCTCTGCACTCCTTGTTGAGGCTTGTCAGGAAGAACGAGCAGAGGCTGCTGTCTGGGCTGCTGGAATGGTTGTCGATCTCCACGAAGATCGCCGCGTGGACCTCGAGAGGCATCCCCTTTTGCTCCAACAGAAGGAGGAGGACATCGGGATGATGTCCCTGCTTCAGCAGGGGATGGAGATCTACCAGGTAATCCATAATCGAAAAATAAACACTGACCACAACAGAAACAAAACGGGGAGGAGGGCCGCCGCTTATTTTTGTTTTAAGGGTCTGGTATTCTGTCACGGTCGTGTCGAGGAAGGCACACGAAGACGAAGATAAATTCAACAAGTAGTTTAATAGTATCCAGGAAGAAGATAATACACATAGATGAGGGGTTGACACACACCAATTCAAACATACCAGACAAAGACTAGAACCAAAGAGTAGTGAGCTTAAATAAGGCAGGCAGCTGATGACAAACAGGTGATGGGAATTAACTAATAAGCACCAATGAATCAATGAACTAAACGAGGGCATAGTAGAACTAAACAGACCAGATGACTAAACAAAGTGAAAACACAACAAAAGAGTTCATAACTGTTACAGAACCATGGTACAGCATTTTATTAAATTTTTTGGTAAAGGCATTTGCAAAATATCAATCTTTCTGTTGTGTACTTTATGAGCAGTCAGTGTGGTGCATTTATCTCAGGACTATAAAAAGTCCCTTGGGGAAAGTTTATTACAGTGATTTACTGGCTAAGACTCAAGTTTTTCTTTGATTTGTTGTACTTTAAGGAGCAAAATAGGCTTGATATTTCACGTAGAGGAAATGATGAGCCGCAGATCCTGGTGTATATTTTCCCCCTGTGTGAAAAATGCTTATACGAAACTCATTGTTTTCCTGAGCATCCATCACTGCCACAAGCAGGAGCCGTGCTGTTATGCAGCCCTTCTAGTTACGTTTGGCTCTGAATGGACTGGAAAATAAATCAATACCAGGCAAAATGGTCCAGCCAGCCCGGAGGGTATTCAGCACGGTTAGCACTGCACCTCCATGCTGCTCCGCTCAGTCGCTGCTGTTACGACTGTCATGTTTAGCTCTGCAGCCGCACATGATGCTGCATACATCTACAGCTACAGCCCTATAGAATGATGTGAATTACTGCTATTGCATATCCAGATGGCAGAGTAATTAAGCATATAAGTGTCCAAAATGGCTAAAAACGAGTTGAATGGTATACAGACAGGGCAGTAGGGGTGGAACGGTTCGTGGAAAAAAATCGGACTGTACGGTTCTTCACACACGGTTTGGCACGCGGTAGGACCGCGGTTCAACTTAAATCTGACAATGCATCTGTAATATGGTTTGCTATAAATAACACTTAAAACAAACAGGGTTCGGCTAATATATGTTTCTGTTGATGGATGCGCATTTTGGCTTCCCAATACATTACAACAAAAGCGATGAAAAAAAAAAAAACGTGGACAAACCGTTGGCTCTTGTTCAATGTGAATGCCGTATGCTGGAATATGAGCATTAATTCCGTCATCACCCGGGTGCTGAGGCGCACGCGCACAGGTGAGACCTGAACAGCACACGTTGATATCTGTGTTTAAGTTAAACTCGTTTAAGCTTTGCCAGTTAAAACCTGCAAGCGCAAACCCGCGCCTCAGAACAGGCGCAAATATTAAGCTTTCTCTGAAGTATTGTGTTTAAATGGACAAATTCACACAAAAATTATGTCACTGCTCTTGATTGAATAGCTTTTGTAACTTTAATAAAGATTAATATTTAATTTATACAGTAAAATATGCAATGCTGTTTTACGTTTCATTACTTTATTCAATTTCTGTACCTGAAAACTAATGTTAGACCTACCTAAAAAAAAAACTGAAATCAATGTTTATTTTATTTGTATCTTTACTCTATTGTATTTATTTGTGCTGTTGCTTGTAATTAGATTATTCTTATTTTCTTTATATTTAATATATATATTTATTCTTATTTTCTTTTGACATTATAGTTTTTGCCTAAACATAGCACATACCAAACTGTACCGAAACGGTGACTCTAAAACGTGAGACCTGAACAGCACACGTTGATATCTGTGTTTAAGTTAAACTCGTTTAAGCTTTGCCAGTTAAAACCTGCAAATTTTATTTGTATCTTTACTCTATTGTATTTATTTGTGCTGTTGCTTGTAATTAGATTATTCTTATTTTCTTTATATTTAATATATATATTTATTCTTATTTTCTTTTGACATTATAGTTTTTGCCTAAACATAGCACATACCAAACTGTACCGAAACGGTGACTCTAAAACCGTGATACAAACCGAACCGTGAGTAAGTTGAACCGTTCCACCCCTACTAGGCAGATACTACAGAAAAAGGGCAAAGAAAATGTGCTTTTTATGCAAAACTAGAAGTTTCTCTTCATTTTTAAAGGTATAGCTCACCCAAAAAATTTTATTCAGTCATTGTGTCATTACTGTATGTCTAAGGAACGCCAGTGGTGAATTTTTAGTAATTAGCCAGTCTTTTTTAATATAATGAAAATGAATGCGAACCAGGGGCTGTCAAGCAATAAAATAAAATAAAATAAATTCATTCATTAATTAAAACTAGAAGTTTATTTTTATTTTTAAAGGTATTGTTCACCCAAAAATTCAAATTCAGTGGTTTATGCATTATGTCTGAGGAACGTATAATAAAAATGGATGGGAACCGGGGGGCTGTCAAGCAATGTGATGTGACACAATGTGAAAAATAACTAAAATAAAATTAAATAAAATACATTTTCTCCTAATTTTTAAAGGTATTGCTGCCCCAAAAATTCAAATTCAGTGGTTTATGCATTATGTCTGAGGAACATTTAATATAAGTGGGTGGGAACCGGGGGGCTGTCAAGCAATGTGATGTGATGCGATGTGATACAATGTGAAAAATAACAAAAATAAAATAAAATAATTTTCTCATTTTTTTTTCACCCGAACAAAAAAAAATCTAATTTATTCATGTCATTATGTCCAAGAAATGCTAAAGTTGAATTGTTAGTAATTAGGCAGTCTTTTAAATATAATGAAAGTGGATCCCATAGCGACCCCTAGAGGACGCAGTTCGAAGTTCCCATGAAAGGGAACCAGGGGCTGCCATGCGATGCAATGCCGTAAATAAATAAATAAATACAATTTTCTCCTCATTTTTAAAGGTATTGTTCCTTTAAACACGTATTTTTACAGGTTTCACACAAGGTAGTTGAAGTACTTGAATTTGACTTTTTGAAATTTAAGTCCTGGAAAACCCTTGAAAACAGCCATATTTTTGAAAGGGTCATACTAAAGACTGTTTTCACTTAGGTCTATTTTTATTACTAAAAATATCAGATTACTTGACTGTCAAAATAATCAGTAGATTACGTGATTACCAAAATAATCATTAGTTACGGCTCTAGATTAGTTAAAATATTTCAAAATATAACATTGTTTTGCTTTTTGTGATTAAAAGACAAATATTTTGCCATTTAAATTTTCTTAAAATAGTATTAAAATATTGTCTCATTCTAGTGAACCAAGTATATGTATTTTGTCTCATCTCGTGAACTAAGTGTATTGTCACACCCCTAGTGTCTACAAGCATAATATAGGCCTAGCTCATAACTTTCCAAGTGTATGATGAAGCTTTTACTTTTAAGGTCAATCACGTATTCATGAAAAAAAAAATTACTTTGAATAAGTAAAGCGATCATTTTTCCATAGTATCCTTTCAGATGTTAAAGTTGCCATTACATGCTTTGCATGTGCTGCACTTTATTTGTAACATTTTGTTTTATAAGTTTATTTATTAGAATTTGAAAGATAATAATGATATTGTGATCTCTGATTGTAGTCCTTGAAAACCAAAAAAGTAGTGCTTGAAAAGTCCTTGAAAGTCCTTCGTTTTGCAGTTTCTGTACGAACCCTGTTTTTAGTAATTAGCCAGTGTTTTAATATATAATGAAAGTGGGGCTGTCAAAAAATAAACTAAATAAATACAAATAAAATAAATAAATAATCAAATTAAATTTAATCCTAAAATAAATTAAAATAAAATAAAAAATGAAATGAAATGAAATAATAATAATAAAATAATATAAATAAATAAATGACATTTACATGAGCTTTTCAAACTTTGCGAGATTCCTATTTTTCCTAAGCTTTGTATAGAAAACCGACAGCAATTTAGGTATATTTATTTAAAATCTTGATGCAGTAAAACATTGTGCACTCTTTCTCAGACGTGAGTGCTTGAGTTTAGACAACATGCTCTGATTGCCACACAATTTTGATACAAACATAATTACTGAGCAAAGAGAAGATAATGGCTACCGCTGATTAAAATGAGAAGTCTCTGAACCCCTTGAATGAGAGAAATGAGGTGTGTTTTGACTGTAAGATGCTAGTAATATATTTGTGTGTATTTTAGGCAACTAGCATGACGTCTCAGATAGAGACGCTGTGTTCTCCTGCCTCCAGGTGACTGGATATATTTTCACTGATTACTCTCTCTTTAAATTTCTCCCCCCTGCATGCCTCTCTGGAACATCTTAACCCAACCCTTTTTACATTAGCCAGGGTGATAGCCTTACAAGCTTTTTAATGTTAGAATCCTTTGTTTTTGGTGCTTGCTATTTTTACACATTAATGTTAGATGGGAAAATAGCTTCAGGATGAATAGGATCAGGTCTTTATGTCAGCATCTGTATGATGGGATAATGTTAGTTTGTTAATCTCTAAATTACACTTTCTAGCTCAGAAGATGACATAATTTAGACATTAAACATTCTATCTATCTATCTATCTATCTATCTTACTAGAGTGCTTGCTCTGTTACTGTTAGAGCTTCTAATAAGGTAAACTTAGTCGATTTAGTAAAGGTGACAAACCCTAGAGAAGAGATATTGATTATCACACTTGTAATATAATCAAAGTCTCTGTTCATCTGTCCAAATCCTTACATCTTTAGTTAACCTTGCAGCACTTTACCCATTTATCATGTGAATAAAAATGTGTTTACTCTACAGAGATGAAAATGCTACCCGCTCTTTGAAGTTAATTGGAACCTCGTTAGAGCGTTAAAGGTATTTTTTTCTGTTTTATTAAGTACCTAACCAGGTAAAAGCTTGAAAAGCTTTTTTAACATAAACTACCAGTCAAATGTTTGGACATTGTGGACTGAAATTATAATTCTTGTGGTCTTAAACCTTTTGATGCAAAGCCTTCTGATTAAATGCTTACAAATAACATTTGTTTATTATTTTTATTTATTTTTTATTTATACCAATGGTTCCCTTTTATCCCAGCTGGAGCTAAAATACTATCTATCTATCTATCTATCTGTCTGTCTGTCTGTCTGTCTGTCTGTGTCTGTCTGTCTGTCTGTCACCACTTTATTTGATGACTTTTAAAAAAAGTAAAAATAAAATATAAAGACAATTTACAAATTAAAATAATAAAAAAAATATATTATTCCAAATTTTCTATTTTCAAACATTTGGAATAATACAAGTTTTTCAAATAGAAAAGAAGTTAGCTCACCAAGGCTGTATTTATTAGATAAAAAATACAGTAATATTGTGAAACATTTTTACAAAAAAAAAAAAAAAAATCATTACAATTTAAATTAACTTTTGCTTGATTCATGAGATTTAATTTATTTCTGTGATGGCAAAGCTGAATTTTCAGCATCATTACTCTTGATGCTCTTGATGTCTTCAGTGTCATATGATTCTTCAGAAATCATAATATTCTGATTTGCTCATGAAACATTTCGTTTTGCTGCTTAATACTTTTGTGAAAAACATGATATACTTAAATTCATAAGTTTGATGTAAGATTAAAATCTTTTATTCACCAAGAATGCATTCAATTGATAAAAAAGTACTAAAGACATATATAATAGTGTATTTATTCTAAAATGTTGAAAATATTGCAAGAAAATAATAGTCAATAGGTGTTTCCAAACTTCAAACACAAGCTCCTTATTACGTTGATAAATATATGATTTTCTTGTTTCACATTAGCTTGTGCATGATGTGTCAGTTTACTGGAAAACCCAGAGAGCACATGTTTTGGCCTGAGAGCGGCTCTTGGCTGGAGGCGCTGAGAGTCTCACGGCACTGGTCTTGATTGACTTATCTCTCTCTACAGACTTCATTATCAGACGGAGATCAGGCGCCAGGACTCTCTACATGACCTACGCAGAAGCTGTTGAACCCGATGCCGCCACAGCCCGGAGAGCTGCATTTTACTGCTGAAGTCAGTAAAGCACATCTGCTGAGTTGGTTTTTTACCTTGGTGGGAGGCTTGTTAATAGTCTTGGTCCACTCAGTTTCCTTCGATCCAGGTTGCAGGATGTGTATCATAACTACTGTAGAAATATTTAATCAGGTATAACCAAAATGTGTTTGATCTAATTCAAACGGTTTTATCATATAACTTACTCAATTAAAGCCATAATTTGTAATGCTCCAACCTGACTGCAACAGAAGTCATTTTTATAGGGCAGAGGAGGTAGAAATAGCTCCTTTTGCAACCATTACTCCCAAATTGCTCCCAGACTGCTCATTTTCACTTTGTACAATGTATGCAGTGGTCATTTTTTCTTCTTTTTATGCCTTTGGCAGACACTTTTTACCAAAGCAGCTTTCACTGCATTCAAAGTATTCTATAATAATATAAACAATATGATTATAATTCTAGTTCTGTTTAGAATTTGCGAAGTGTATATATATGCATTTGTTAATAAATTGATATATAAATGAATAAAATATAAAATAATAATGTAATATATAAGTAATAAAATATATAAACACACACACACAGATATATATATATATATAAATTAAAATATGAATATGAATAATTACTAAAAGACAACTGTAATACAATTTTAACAATTGAAACAGAACTATATATATATATATATAAATTAAAATATGAATATGAATAATTACTAAAAGACAACTGTAATACAATTTTAACAATTGAAACAGAACTATATATATATATATATTACAAAATAAATTAACTGTAATCTGTTAGTTACTGAGAAAAAATGTGTAATTAAATTACAGTTATGAAAATGTTAACGATTAGAAAGGGGGTTGCATCTGAATATTTTCAAACACATACACAGATTTAATTGATTCCTATCCCAAATTGCATTGACTGCTCTCTAAAATATGAGACAACAATGTTTCAGGAGTTTAGGACACAGAATAGGACACATGCTTATTCTATAACTGTTTTATTTCCTATTTAGGCTTAGGTATATGCTTTATTTTTTAAGGTTAACGTTTTTTTCCAAGGCATTGTTAGATGCCAGTGTTTCCTGTTGTACACTCTAAAAAATGCTGGGTTGTTTTAACCCAACTTTGGGTCAAATATGGACTAACCCAACTTTTGGGTTAAAAATGTAATTGAAAAATTGAACCCAACAGTTGGGTTAGTCCATATTTGACCCAAAGTTGGGTTAAAACAACCCAGCACTTTTTAGAGTGTAGCTATGCAAAGATTTGATTTCAAACACAGTATTATAGCTATTAAACTATGTCTTGTTATGATTTAAAATCTGTATTCATCCTCAGAACGATCTCAAATTAAAAAGAGGTGCTAAAGTCCGATTTTGTGGTGGCTGTGCTTGAAAATGTCATTTTTATAATCTTAATTCAAGTGATGATGGATTTTGAAAGTCTGCCAGTAATCAGTGTTGATTACTACTGTAAGGTTAACCCTGACTGCTTTAAATGTTTCAAAATGATTAACAGTTGAAAGTATTCGTTAGCAATTTAGAAAAGTAATCAAATGTAATTAATTACATTACTTTAATAAAGTAATAGTTAGACTACTTATTACATTTTAAATAGGGTAACATGTAATCTGTAACCTATTACATTTACTTTGCTCAGAGCAAGATAGTAGCTATACACAGTTAAATAAACCAAGTTTTGCTTGAAAGCTGACAATATATTTTTACTCCTAATAGTACACAGTGGTCATTTTATTTTGGAGAACAGTCCATTTGTTTTGCCGGCTCTGTTTGATTTAGTTGAGTTGCGTTTCTAATCTTTAAACCATAGAGGACAGAGCAGATTTCTTAGGCTTTATTGTGCTGCTTTGAAGTGCCTTTGGTCAGAACTTTTAATAACAGAAGATATGCTCCAGGTCTCCGGGACTCTACAATGACTCCGCAGAGAATTGCGAGATAAATTCCAGGAAAAGCATTCGGTGAAATTCGGAAATTCGGTGAAGTGAGAAAAGGATGAGATGGATGAGGAGCACCGCACACGCTCTGGGGATAGACATGTTCTTTTGTTTACAGAAAATCTGTTTTTGCGACAATGGAACTACAAATCACAGAGCTGAAAAATCGTTTAGGACTCCATTTGAAGATCTGGAAATGGATCCACGTGACCTCTTCATTGTGTTGCTTCAAGTAACCTTGTGTCAGAGATTTCCGAGTGGGAGAGGAGGTTGAGCTTTGGCACATCCATTGGAGCAAATTGCAGAAAATGAAGCACAATCAATAAATGTCTATTGGATGAATGGCATTCAGAATTTACCTTGAACAGTTAATCTTTTTGAGTAAAAATGAATAAATTAATTAAAGAGCCGCAGAGACTTTACAAGATCCATTACCATTTTTATTTTGCATTAGCCCAGCTAACAAAAATATATTCTAAGAACATTTTGCTAACATTCCCATTAAGTTCTCATATATTTCTAAATGTTATCTTAATGTTCAAATGATGATGATAATTTTTTAAAATTGGTTATGCAAATGTTAAAAAAAAAAAACATTAAAGGAACTTTCCAGCTTTTAAAAAGTTTAAAAAAAATTTTTTTTTCTTAATTACACAAATGTTAGAGAATACATTAAGCAAACTTTACAGTTTTTAAAATGTTTTTAAAACATTATTATTTTTTTGGTTATGCCAAAGTTAGAGAAAACATTAAAGGAATGTTCCATTTTTTTATTTTTTATTTTTGTAAACATGTTGGGAATGTTATTTTTGAATGTTCTGAAACAAGTAGTAAGTAGTAACATTTGAAAAAAACAAACAAACATCCGATTTAAATTAAATGTTTCAGAAAAGGGTTCCATGAATGATGTATAAATAATATTTTTATTATAATATTTTTATTTATTATAGACCACATAGCTTTGAACCAGCATCCTATTATTGTTACTGGTTTTTTATCTTGCCAGAGCATTAATTAATGTTCTTTAGAAATCATTCCCTGTTAGCTAGGATTTTTCACCAGAAGTGATGATTTTGTTCTCCTAAACACAAATTGTTTTTATGTTTTGATATTTTTTTTTCCATTTGTATACAATAAATTTAATAAGACTTTTTTAATTTAGTGTTTAGTTTTAGTATGGAATAAATATAATAATATTTTCAAATAGACAGTGGAATTGCAAAACAACAAAAAGTAAAATAATATAATTATTTAAAAAAAAATAATAATAAATTAAGTTAATTGCAGATGATGACAAATTTGTGCCCAACATGGCATTAAGACAATGATGTTCCAATTTTGGCCATTAATTAAATCCGCATCTTGGATGAAAACATACTAAGTGATTCCAGTCTTAGAAAGCATTGCTATAAAATAAAAACTCAAGTGCCACAGTGATGTAAAAACTGCGATTCAAATCCAACAAGCCGCCTGGCAATCCTTGCATCATGAATCGTTAGGAACTGATGGAGCTGATATCTCTCTGCTAATTTCGTTTCTGGCTCTGTTTCTCAGTAAAATACAGCGATATGAAAAGTGTACCCATGCGTTTCATAAGCAGAACAAATCTCCAGGAAGAAGCTAATGAGTCTGACATATAAAGGCAGTGATCACAGAAACATCTTTCCAGCTAATTAAGAGAGCCAGTATATGGAGTGAACGCCTCACAGAGAGAAAATCATGCTTATGAGAGAAAGCTCAGCATGGGAGATCAGAACAGCCTTCGCTTTTTGAAGAAGCTTCCAGAGTAGCCTACGTCTGATGTTCTGTTGGTACTGCATGAAGCTTTTCCCTCGATATCCTTTTAACCTCTCACACCTCGTTTAAACTGAGATTGTTACAATCAAGGTGCCTTTTGATGGCTGCCATAGGCGGACTGGCCACGGGGACTTGGGGCAAAAATGCCCCTGCACCAATAAATTAAATCTATTACGTCTGTTTCTATCAAAGTGAATATGAATAGACAGTGTCGATTGCGGCATTAAATTAAAATCTGCTCATGTTGCACCGTATTTCATTTTAGGCGTTTTTACAGTGTTGCGCATTTTAACCAATCACACACAATTCTGTTGAGCTTAGGAATGCAATGGCCAATCAGAGGCGTTCAGATGAGTCATCGTTGAAAAACTCATCAGTTTTGTTGAGTGTGTGCGCGTTCGCTGACTTAATTCCGGAATCTTGCGAATTCTCTCATAAACAACAAAGCGCAGATGTAAGTACAATGTAAGTTTATATAATTATCAATTTCTAACGTTTTTATTAAATTGTAATCACGTTAAATACAAATGCAGTCCCATTAAACATTTTTTTAGCCTACATTACACCCATGTCTGGTTCTTGCCTAAAAAGACAGGTTTATGATGTTTAATACATTTGGCTGCTTTTAGCCTTACACTGGAGTTGGTTCACCCTCCGCCTATGATGGCTGTGTTCTAGTTGTATTGCATTGCTCGCTTGCTCCATAGACATGCTGTTGGATGAGAAAAGCACTATAGAGTATCTTTGGAGATACCAAAGCGCAGCCCTGGCATGGCACAGGTCATGGAAGCTCTATTTGTGTCTTCTTTCAGAGCAGATAAAGCCTGTAATCTTGCTGTGATCACAGTCGGACCGCTGTGTTGTGAGCAGACAGGAGTGCATCATTTTAGATCAGCTCAGATGAGTGAGGATCAGGATGTGAACTTCAGTTAAAGGCTTAGTTTATGTAACTGGACCTGTTCATATGGGACGTATGTCTGAATGCTGCAGAGCAACATGGGTTGTTATGGATAACTAAAACTATTTAAAAAAGTGGTAACACTTTACAATAAGCTTCCATTTGTAAACATGAGTTAACATGAACTAACCATGAAAACTACTTCAAAAAATGTTGATGTTAATCTCAACATTTACTAATACATTTTTTAAATAAAAACTTGTTTTTGTTAACATTAGTTAATGCACTGACTAACATGAACATGAGCATTTTTATTGGATAATTAGGTTATTTTATAGGTTAATAACTGCTGTAAAAATATGTCGCTCATTATTGTTTCATGTTAGTTAATGAATTAATAATGTTAATATATAGCTTATAAACTGAAATAAAAAAACACACTTAAACTTATTTTTATTTCAGTTAGTTGCAACATTTCTCATTTTCATTTAGATAAACTTGATGCACTAAAATAACTAAAACTAACAAAAATGAATGACAACTAATGAAAAAGAAGAACACAACAAAAGCACTAAATATTTAAGATAATTAAAATTAAAACAGAAAATATAAAATAAATATTTATTACAAATATTATTAAAAAACATCTCAATAAAATAATACTTTCAAGATAAGCATCATGATTTTAGATGCTTTTTTAAAATTTTGTTCCTCTTTACTTTTTTTTTTTTTTGGCAGTAGAATGTTTATAATATGAGGAAAATACAACTGAAATTAGATTTCTGTATTTTTTTCCAATTAATTGAGCTTGAAAAAAGTTGCCTTAATGCATTAATTTACTTTCAAATTCAGATTTTCATTGAATGTTCAGCATTCAAAATCTATTAATAATATCATTGTAATATTCACACCCTGATTTGCATCTGTTCTTCTTTCTTGCATTTATTTGCGTATTGAATTGTGATTTGTTGCTTCCTTCTTACATCTGTCTTTTTCGCTGGAAAGGATCCCAGTGTTGTATTCTGAATTGCATGGATGCATGTTGTACAGCATTTTATTTAAACAGACGCTTAACATCTAAAACTTGCTTGAAACTTTAATACTATTGTTTTGCTGCCTTGGACGTATACTAGTACTGTTTCCTAATGCAAATACAGCTTTTCTATATTGCTTAGGTGGTCAACTGATCAGTTGCCCTCTTCTGTTCTACAAATGCCCTTCATTCGTATCAGACCCATCTATTTCCCTCATATACCCTCTGTGTACACTCATCAGGACCCAGCTGCCCGGACCAGAGCCTCCCAGTGGGGCAGCGGACCAAACAACCTCAGTCAGTGAGCAAACTGGTGTTCACAGCCAGAATGTCACCTTGAGAGCTGCAATGATGAGTTCTGCTTTCATACTGTACTAGTATCCCTGCCTAAACGGAGATATCAGATATCTGAGATCTATTTATCTTGTTGGCCTCATTTGAAAACCTAATTCATGTGTTCACTGTGAAGAAAAACAAAATCTTTAAAAAATAGAAGTACATCTGGAATTTTGTGATAAAGAATATGTGTATTTTTGTTCAACATACAACATGTTTTGTTCAAAAGTCACAATTTTTTTTTGGGAGTGTGTTGCAGCCATCAAAAACAAAATGTGTTCATATTTACAAAATTCATTTACGTTGGTCAGTGAAAACTTTTCTTTGTACTTTTGTCAATTAAATAAAAGTTAAAGAGAATGAACAAATCACAGATTCTTGATTTTATTGCATTTTACAAAATGTCCCAACTTCTCTGGAAGTGGGGTTGTACAGTAGGACTACTAACATCTGCTTTATTCTCTCAAATTTACCACAATGAGCTTGAAACTTGTCTCTGATTACTGTGAAGGTATATAAATGGAAATCTATTACAAAATTTCAATACAACTTTTTTTTATTGTTATGAAAGAACAATTGTCTTTTCATAGGCTATAGTATCATGCTTAACGTTTTTACCTCAAACAATTGCCTCAACAACCTCTGCGAGTTCAATAAACTTTAATAATGCGATTGGCTGGAGGAAGCGGCATAAATTGATCTCAAGGTCTTGACAGAGCCGTAATGAAATTCCGATGTGTACGCAATCAGATAATAAAACCATACAACACAAATCCATCTGGAGATATTTTTTTAATTCACTCCCGTTATCAATGCCACCTATCTACGATACACAGCCATTATGAAATAATGCAATTACAGAAGTCACCTGACACAGAAGATTACTGAGCGGCGGCATCCTCCATTACCCAAAGGTAACCTTCAGCTACGCGGGAAACCATTAAATCAAGAGCTCGTGTTTATCTGTGCTGAGGGGGGCTAACGCTAATTCACTTTCTGCCAGCGGTTATTTACGTTGACACAAATTCTGATGAGATGCTTGAGCATGCCGATAAATATTCATATTCTGAAGATAATAAATCTATCTGTGTGAAACTTTCACAATGCTTTTTACTTTAATAATGTGACGCATTTTGAGTGAATTATAGAAATGGGTGTGATTTTAAGTTTAAGACGAAAAGCAACTTTAGTGTGTGTGTGTGTGTGTGTGTGTGTGTGTGTGTACACACACACACACACAAATGCTAATGCTGTTGTGCCTTTTTGATCAGTATGGAGCTATTGAGGGAAGATCCTCCGAGAGACGGACACCAAGGAACTTGAAGCTAACCACGTGCTCCACTTCAACCCCATCAATGTAGATGTATATGTGTTTTGCTATTCGGGAAACAAAGAAATATATGCTATAATAATAATAATAATATATAGACTTCTGTATATATGTGTAGGCTGTACCAAACATCAGCATTGTTTCAAAACCACTATAAACACTATATACTGTACTATATACAGTACTTATGAAGACTTGCCCTGTTCTTTTGACCTTTTCCAAACCCACAGCTTGGTTTCTTAAATTACTTTTGGAATATAAAAAAATGCTGAATTGACATTTGCAACTGATAGAAATTCTAGCTGAACTGGTGTCATGTGAAACCCTGCTGTTTTTGCTGACGTTTAGAAGGTTGGGTTGCCTGAACGGATGAGAATAATGTTTAAAATAAGGATTTACCAACAGCATAAATTCAATTTTAATTATGAATTAAACTGAAGTCGTATTATAATATGTGCACTGTTAATGTAATAAGATAATTCGCTTAATATTGAACATTCTGTAGTCATTTAATCACCATCATGTTGTTCCAAATCTGTTAATTCAGAATGATTGAGACATTTTTCTCCAGTCATTTCAACATCAAAATAATGTCCCAATCAACCTGAATTCACCCCATGACTTTCTTTCCTCCTTCATTGACATCATATTGATGCATTGATGCAATACACTTCATGAAGGAAAGATTTTTCAGACTTTATGTTGTAATGTTTTAGTTGAATGTTGGATTCTTCTTTATTTTTGCATTTATTTTTACTTAAAAAAACAACAACTGAATGTTAAGGCAAGGCAAGTTTTTTTTCTGAACTTTACAGTGTGTGTATGATTTTTTCTGCTAATCTCTATGTCATGGACCGGTCCTCTTTAATGGATTCATCTGTATTTTGCTTTGCATGAATTCCATTAAGAGCAATTGGGAATTCTGAATGTGCGTTTCATCTCCTCTGTTGAAGTAATACGTGCATTTAATTTACAGAAAAACTTCTGGCTGCTGTCAGCTGCTGGATTTGGAAGTATATCTTGGTAAATGATACAGTTTGGTACAGTATGTAGAGTTTTGTTGCTTTTGGTCTGATTCAATATGCTTATGGTAAGGATTGGCTGTGGTAATACTTTGTAGAAGTCACGTTATGTTGCTTTTGATCTGATGTGAAATATCGTCAAATGCACATTCATACACATACATTGACTTTGCATGTGTGAGTTTGTTTGAAATCATTTGTCAATGATCATCATGGTAAATTGGGATTGATTACTTAAATTAGGGATTGTTTGTGATTGATTAATAATGTGTGCGTAGATTGCTTCAAACCCCTAACCCTAAATATCGAATGCATCACTCAATATAATTTAACACATCAATATAATTTAAATATGAATGATACACCTTGTGAAGGCTAATATTAATTAACGTTTTATGTGTCTGAAATACATTGAAATAAACAAATTAGACTAAATTAAAGCTTGATTGGAAATTATCACAATAAAAATTAAATTATATTTATATTTATCTTTCTTATATTTCTATATCTTATCTTTCAGAATTGTCAACTTGCTAAACCAAGTACACTAACTTTGTTTATGTCATTAGAAAAATGATTATGTTTATGTTATTAGAAAAAAATACAATGCAAATAACAATGAAAAAATATGATACACCTTGTGAAGGCTAATATTAATTAACGTTTTATGTGTCTGAAATACATTGAAATAAACAAATTAGACTAAATTAAAGCTTGATTGGAAATTATCACAATAAAAATTAAATTATATTTATATTTATCTTTCTTATATTTCTATATCTTATCTTTCAGAATTGTCAACTTGCTAAACCAAGTACACTAACTTTGTTTATGTCATTAGAAAAATGATTGTTTATGTTATTAGAAAAAAGTACAATGCAAATAACAATGAAAAAATATAAAAAATCATAAAAAAATAAAAAATAATAAAAATGAATAATTAGCTATTAATAATGAATTAAAAATAATACAGGAATGAATAAATAGTAAAAACAATTACACACAAATATTGAATTGGTTTATGATTGTTTCACTTGTATATAATAAGATAAACATAATCATATATGTATATAATATTTTATATAATCGAACATCTTAAAATTGTATTTTTATAATGTGTTTTCATATTTAAGGGTAAAAGAGGGTAAGGGTATTTTGAATTCCTGATTAATAACCTTGGTTATTAATGAAACCCTCGAGGATTTACATATGAAGAGATGCAAATGGTTCATTCTATCTCAGACTTATTAGGCATACAGTAGTCTAATAATCCCTATTGTGGAGTGTGAATTATGAATCCAAACTATGTAAGGTGTCCTGCTAATCAGAGCCAACCGTGAGAGGGTTCTGTCTCAATGTATGAATACTTCATGACTGATAACTGCATCCGAGGGTAATGAATGGAAATCCTGACTGTCCCAAAGAGATCATTTTTCATTTCGCCACAGGAGTCACTGACATGCCTTCTCTGTTCCTTTCTCCAAATTTATATTTCATACTTTCCCACTGTCACTGTGTCACACACTTTCTTTTTATCTCTGTACACAGAAAGAAATGTTTAACCCAACCTTCTGGGTAGTAACCCAACCGCTGGGTCAAAACAGCCCAGTTGCTGGGTTTGTCCCTATTTTACCCAGCACTGGGTTGTATTTAACCCAGCATTTTTTAGAGTGTAAGACTGTTGAAGATCCCACTGTTAAAGTGGACTGTTACTCTCTGAAGCACACGGTTAAAACTAAGTTTTGTTGTTGTTGTTGTTATTGGGATTGATGGTATCATGTAGAACCTTTCCCATTTACGCAACCTTTCCATTATACAAAATGTACTTCACACCAAGAAAATACGGTTCTTTTAAGGGTTCTTTGGGGAATCAAAAATGGTTTATGACGTAGCTGGGAAAATTCCTTTTTGGAAACTTTATCCCCCCCCCCCTTGCTGCATGTCCCTATTTTACCCAGCACTGGGTTGTATTTAACCCAGCATTTTTTAGAGTGTAAGACTGTTGAAGATCCCACTGTTAAAGTGGACTGTTACTCTCTGAAGCACACGGTTAAAACTAAGTTTTGTTGTTGTTGTTGTTATTGGGATTGATGGTATCATGTAGAACCTTTCCCATTTACGCAACCTTTCCATTATACAAAATGTACTTCACACCAAGAAAATACGGTTCTTTTAAGGGTTCTTTGGGGAATCAAAAATGGTTTATGACGTAGCTGGGAAAATTCCTTTCTGGAAACTTTATCCCCCCCCCCCCTTGCTGCAAAACGTACCGGTAATTGCACACCTCTGCAAGTCACGCAATTTGAGTTATCATTCATGTCTGTAGATGGTGAAATTAATAATAAATAAAACAAGCAAATTTCAAAGATTAAAAAATGGCAACTCGCTACAAAAAACACACTGAAGCCTGGTGGTAAATGGCAATAGTTCTTTTATTTTTTTTTCTCTATATTTTAAAGGTTTATTATTTACAAAGAAACTAAATAAAACAAAAAATTATGAAAATCAAAAGAAGTTTTTGACAAACACCGTTTGTCTGCATATAGGTGTAAGAAAGTATACATTTACCTTTCTTTATTCAGGATCAAGTAACTAATTGTTCATCTATACAGTATTTATTGAATGATTTTTCCCCCAGTTTTTTTTTTTATTCTTTTTTAAATTTTTTAAACCAAGCATTGGTGTACATGAACAAGCATAATGGAAAAGAAAATAGCTGAGATTAAGAAAGCTTGAGGCCTGTTCTAGAATCTTCCATCATTTGCATCACGTCATTGAACATATCAAACAGAATGATTTCACCTGAATCGTGGAGGCTGCAAACCAACCGTTTTGGTTTCCCTCCTTTATCTCAACGTCACTCCTCCTTTTTCTTTTGCATTGTTCATTTCCCATCACATGAACACATATATGATAAAAACAAATAAAAAACAAACATACGGAAATATGTGCTGGTTTTCTTAAACGCTTCCTCAGAAAGTGACAGCATTCTCTTTTTTTAGTGTATTGTTGTATGAACGCCTCTCCTTCCCAATCTGGAATTCTAACAGTGTTTAAAGCTGAGAGGAAAAAGCACATTAACACGGGAAGCGTTCCCCTCTGAAGGCAAGTACAGTATCAAAAAAAGCAGATACCCAGAGTACCGCTGACCATCCTATCTGTACACTAGTTTCTATACACTATGGCATAGCAGGAGTTAAGCGCTTTTTGTTGTATTTGAACACACAGGTCCTCCCGTCGGGCCAGAGGCCAGACGACGTGATTCTGGGTGATGTAGCAACCCCTTTAGTTAACCCACTAATGTATGTGTTTCTGCTTCTACTGTAGGTTTCTCTCTCTCTTTAAACAGAAAGTGCAATTCACAATGAAAGTTTGTTTGAAATGTTTCACTTTGGCCAGTTTCATTCCACACAACATCAGTGGCTATTAAGTTAAGTTCCACACACATTTAACCAACGATCTATCATGATTCCAACCGATACTGATTTGCTTGCGAATAGATATACTTTCACTAGTCTCACTAGCAAATCTCGTCCTTTTTGCTCCGATACGTTTGGCCATTCCCATTGCTTTTTGTTCTCATCAGAAAACATTGAACATACACGTATACACTTGTTTACATACACGTGTGCGCGAATGTGCGCGCACACACGAGTCACACTCATAAAATGAACAGGATGAAACATGGCTATAGTTTAGGCACAAATACTTAAGAATGTCCTTTTTGTGAAAATTCAATGTTTCTGATACGCACAGAGAACGTCTAGGCAGACAATGAACAAAAGAACATAATCTCACAATACATTTAAACGTCAACGTTTTTTAAATAGTATTTGTGACAATGCATGCGTTTATGGTCGCTGTATGGGATTTGCACTGGTACAGTACTGACACAAGTGTTTTTTTTTTGTCTTTTTTTTTTGGAGTATTGTCGTCTTTTAAACATTGTGCAAGGGGGCTTGGAGACTTTGCACAGGTCAGATGAGTTTTTTGCGCTATTTTACCAACTTTTGGTAGCGGTATTGAAAGAATAAATTAAAAATAGATGGGGTCAGTGCTGCTAGTTACCCCTAGTAAAATCTGTTTTACCACCAACATGGATGACTGACATGCTATTTCAAAGTCTTAAGCCCCAAACTGGATGAATCGATGTATGGGAAAGATAAAAACCTTAATGCAAAGCAGCTTCTGTTTTTCTTTCTTTGAACGTCTATATTTCTTCATCTATCCTTTGTTGGATTCACGTAGTTGCTCTTGAAAACATACAGAATAGTTCTGCTGGCCGTTTTCATAATTGTGTTGTGTCTGCTGTGCCATCGGTTTACGGATTTTTATGTTTCATATCTCAGCTGATGTGTTTTGTAAATCTAGCAGAGCATTAGTAAATAAATACATAAATAAATGTTAAGTTAGAATGTTTTTCACAGTCTTTAAATGCAAAAATAATGGAAAATGCATAACCAGAACATCTACGTCTATGTAATATTATGAAGTTGGAGTAGTGTGTACATCCATTAATACTGATCCATGTGGAAAAAAAACACTATTAATATGAAAGTATTATAAAACAAAGCATCTATCGATGTATGCAGGCAGCCTATGGCTTCCTTGTTACATCAGCCCAGGAAATGATCAAATAAATATACTAAAATGATGATGTAACATAGGCAAAATGCATTAAGCTTTGCTGCTGCTGCTGATGATGATGATGAAGATGCATAACCCCCTCCCCCACCGCAGTGGTGTCATGCCACTGTAATCACTCATATGCCTTTATCTTTGACCAGCATGATATTTTTGAATACAGATATTGTCTTTATTACTACCTACAGTGTAATGCTGCTATTTGCATTAAGGTTTTCTTATCTCTAATGAATGTTTCTGATGTCTGTTGTCACATATTACCATTTGAATATATATATTTATATATATATGCATATATAGGCATTACCCAGGCGGCTGACAGAGATAAGACATTGCCATGTTTGAGAAATGCACCACACATTACTTTTGTAAATACTAGGTCTACAAAACTATGTACAACACACATATAGGTAATCTTTATATCACAGTCTATTGCATAATGGTGATAATCTTTAGTTTTATAAATATTGTAAATGTACAGTCTTTAAGTGACATTTCATAATGTCCATCTCGTTCTAAAATCAGATATAGAAAATAAAACCATCCGATTTGACCACACATCCTTTGTAAAAATGAAATAAATTAAAATTAAAAAAACAGAAAAAAAATACATTGATTCCCTGTAATGCACAAATGCTGTCTTGAAACGCAATGCAATTACTGCACAACACAAAGTATTGCAGAGATCGAAACTGCACCTTGATCTGATGCTCCGAGCATTTTCTGATATTATTATTTTTTTCCAGCCGCTAAAAGTTTTTAGATGTGCTTTTTAAACATTTCAGTATTTCCCAGGTTTGATTTGCGCAAACATTTTCCACAGTGATGCCAAACGATGCTGAATGCTGGACTTGTTTTGTCATCTTCTCGTTGAGAACAAAAACGGTAAAGAAAACACATTCAAAAGCATTCCAGTACCAAAAACGATAACGAAAATCCGAACTGCAAGGAAAACATCAACAGAAAAGAACATCATCTGACACGTTATAGTCACATATGTTAGAGAGGAAGACTTGCGTTTATACTAGAGTTTTTTTTTTCTTTCCCATATGGTCAATGCCAAATATTCTAGTTGGATTTGCACATATATATATTTGTATAATATACATTCTTAATGTAAGTTGAAGGGGAGGTGTGTCTAAAATATAATACAAGGAAATTCTGTACAGGATAGCTATGAGGTTATTATTTTTTTCTCAGAGGAAGTTGGAGAAAAAAAATACGAGTCTTTTCCCCATTTTTTAGTCTCTCCGTAAAAATCAATCAAAATATCTTTTAAAAAAATGAACATGGAAAAAAAGTAAAACGGGATCATAAATTCGATGCGAACCGCATCTTGTCTTGTTCCGTCTCTGTACTACTTAAGACTGCCGACTCTCTCCTGGAGCCCGTGGAATCCCTGTGCTGGGCACTAGAGGGCACCGTGCGCACCGGCGGTATTGCGCCCGATGACATCTGCCGGAAAAGGGCAACCCTCTGTGGAACATTGGTGCGGATACCGCTTTGCAGAACGGAGCCCGGGGCCTGGACGCCTGCCGCAGATCCCATGGGTGGCTGAATGGAAGCGAGCGATTCGCCCGATGTGGGATGTGCCCGGGCAGCCAATGAGGTCTCGTGGGGCAGTGACGGCTGCGAGGCAGAGAGGTGGCGTATGTCCTTGCTCAGGCTGCCTGACTGGAGTGCCTGCGTGCTCTTGTGGACATCGCTCCTCTGAGGGGACGCCCCTTGCGATTGCTGCAGTTGTTGCGGAATGGAGGCAGGCGAGGGCTGCTGGGGTAAGGATTGCTGTACAAGGGACAGTTGGGAGGCCGTCGGCGATCCATACTGGAATGTTCGGCTGGCTATAGGGGTTTGCACCGGGGGACTGCAAATGGATGTGGTGAACGAACAAGGGGACATGATGGCCCCCACCGGCTGCTGCAAGGGTGTAGGGGGATTCGGGGAAGAGGTGCTCAAGTTGCCGTGAGAAACGCTCGGCGCCGAAAACATGACGCCCTGTGAGGGTGGCACGCGGCCTGACGGGGTTATAGTGGCGGAGGTGCTGTAGCTTAGTGGGGCGGCCTGCTGCTGTAATTGGTTGATCCCAAGAATGGCAGTTGCTGTACTGAACGGTGGCTGGGCGGGAGAGTTAATGATGGAGTTTCCAGACATCGGCGTGGAGTTCATCCCCGTGACCGATTGCTTCCGATCCACCATCATCACCATCTCTCGGTCCTGCCGGATGATCTGCTTCAGCAGCTCGTTCTCCTGAGTGTTGAAGACGCCAGCGTTCAGATCCTTCTGGAATTTCTGGAGCAGGAGTGAGTTCTTCTTCCCTGTTTGGGGGGTGAAACCAGAAGATAGTCAGTTTTTAGTCGGGGCTGAGCGGGTAACATCTAGCCCAAATGGGGCAACAAAGGGTGTTGAACAGTGAGAGGAGAAGCACAAAGGTTTCACAAATGTAGAAAGGGGAGGCTAGTCACACCTAAGTAGAGGTTTTGAAGTCGGACTGATGTTGGATTCAACATCTGGAGGTGCTTACCTCATATGGTTTTGCACTCAATCTCAATGCACATTTGTTTCACTATCACTAGAGCAAATACACACATTTTGAGTCTAAAACATCACATTCTCCGAGCACACCATAGATACGGTTAGAGTTTCATTACCCTGCTGAAGAACAAGCGTCAAGCTTTTTTTTCTAATCTGGTTTGCTTGACTTCGCTGGTCTCCTACTCTGGTCAGGTTGGTCTGTTTGCTGGTTTTAGAGGGGCTTTGAGACCACAACCAGCTAAACTTAGCTGTGGACAAGCTTGGCCAGGCTAGGAGACGAGATATATCAGGTATGTCTAAGCTATTTGTTTTCCAGCAGGGTATCTAGTTCTACTGTAATAGGACAAACACATATTTTTATTGCACTTCACTGAGTAATAGTAGGCCTTTACTCTGAAAAAAATCAGCAGCTAATGATCCTATATAAGCCTCTTCTAGGATATTTTCGTGTATAAACTTGGAGGACTAGGAGTGTCACTTTAAAAATCATTTTTAAAAAGGCAAATAAACTCAAAAAAGTTAAAAAATGTAAGAGTTAAAAAAAATGTCAAAGTTAAATGTAACAGTGAAAATAAATTTGATTTAGCAGAAGGAAAAAGAAAGGCAAATGGAAAATAAATAAAGCAAAGCAGTTTGCAAAAGTTTTTCTAATCATTTTAAATATGTAAATATGAAATATAATTTATAGTTTGTTATATTTTGCTACATTTTAAACGTTCATTCAAAAAAATTAAATACCTATTTATTTGTCAATTTGAAAAGTTATTTATATTTTTATTTATACTGATTATGCCTTTTTTAATTTTTATGTTATTTATTTATTTATTTATTTGTGGAACTGCTAGTCCTCCATAGTCTACATATAAGTAGAATCATTGATCAGTGCAGTTAACAGTCATCTATTTGTGGGTTACTGTGAAATAAATGTCAAAGTTTGAACCAGCAATAAAGAAAATGAACTGATTGATCACCTAATGTTTGTAAAAAATGCTGTGAGATTATTGTCAAATATGAATTTAACTTCACTCCAGTGTGCCAAATGGACTTAGATCTGCTTCTTTTACTCAAGTCACAGTTTTGCTTCTATCATAAATGAGGGATGTATCGATTTTTCCATGAACCTCTACTATTACTGCCCTTTTGTATACAATAACTGAGCATAGCTCTATTGTTACATAAGATGACTGAGTAAGGCTCTTATGAGCTGAAGGCATAAAGCAATAGGCTATCAATCTCTCAGCCGTAGCTGTAAGAGCGAATCAGGCAGGAGGCACAGTTTCATGACCCAGCTGCTTTGGGACATATAAACTTTTACAATCAAGCTGTCTGCAGTGTTGAGCGCAGAATTGTTATATATTTAATCATTAAGGAAGGACTATTACACACTTTTCTGATTAGAGAAAGAATGCAATTTTAGTCCGATTTTTAGATGTTTATGGGGGCAAATGCTAATAGTTTTTCAGTGCATCATGACAGGTGTTCATTGAATCATTGTTGCATTATAAATACTATTCTTCAAACTTTGCAAAAGTTTAATGAAAAATACCATAGAGTTAATGCTACTAGCCTTTATTTATTTGTTTATTTATTTTGAAAACCATGCGTAAATTGTCACGACTACCTGTCAGGCATCACTGAAATAGTGGTTAATTTCAGAAATCACTTGTCTTTGTGACAGCACTGGCATTTTATAAAGTTTTCAATACATACCAACTGAATTTGAGTATTTTGCAATAAAAAAAAATGATGGCAAATGTTGAATTATTGTTTTTATTTTATTATTATTATTGCAATATTATTGGCAATGCTCCAGTCATGGGATTGTGTTTATTCACCGATTAGAAATGTTATTATTTGAGTATGTTTTTTTTTTTGTAATGCTGTTATTTTTATAAATAATGTCATTTTGGAGAATTTCTTAAGTCTTTATTGATATTTTTTAAAATCCCTATATAAAAATAAATGGGAAAAAACTTTACAAACCAAGATGGCTTCAAAGTGGACAGGCACAGAAGATTTAATGTGATACGAAAATAATGCTTTTCTTGTCAAAACATATACTACATAGCCAAAAGTATGTGGACATAAGCCATCAGCACCAGATGGATGATGACTTAAATGAAAATACGAACAATATGATCTGCTATTAAGAGCATAATGTGGTAGCGCAGGACAGTAACTGTCAGGATGAAGGAATTTAAACACTGTCTCCTAATAACTTACTGTAATACGTATATTTTATTTAAGGCTGTTCCCATGGGGGGAAGCGATCAATAACCAATTACGCAGAGTTTCAGCACTATGTCATTTGTTATTAGCTGAGGCAGAAAATGAGAGATATCATATGTGACTGAAGAAAGAAAGGGGCTCTTGAGGATGAACAAGTCTGGTATCGACAGGAACGGTTATTCAGGGGGACAGGAATATCGTGTACATAATCGCAGTAAGGACAAAGACCTCCCTGGAGACGTCTCTGAGGTTTTACAGGCCTGTCGTGTCCTTGCATATCCAAATATACACAATTTCCTTGTTCGCGGTGCGTATCGACTAGTCTGGTAGCGGTAAACATGGCTGGGTGAGTTTTGTAGAGAGGCAGTCAGACCTGAGATGCATTTTGGTGTGGGGACAAATAGTGACTGATGGCCCCTGATGTTTGCAACCCACCCTGAGAGAAATGGCCTTTGCGTATTCGTTCTCAGAAGGCAAAGGCCACGATGTGTAATCTATTGGCAGCCACAGTGAAATGAATCCAGATGAACACTGAAGAGACTACAGTCTACTTCTAAATGAACACGCATTGTATGTCTATAGACTTACGTGATGTCTGAAAAGAGGTTTGGAGGTATCGTGAATTCTGTGAATGAGGAGTTGATCAAAAACATGTTATTCACAGGACTCTAAAAGGCCAGTGGAGAAGGGGATCTAGACAGGCTCCTTCTAGATCTATCATGACCTCTAAGAGATGAAATGTTCTGCTGGATATGTTTAAAGTGTAGACGTTCTCTGACACCCTTGCAGGAACTTTGAGTTGATACTGTATGTCGTGTTTTATTGACCAAGTCTTGCAATCAACCAAATCTACAGGGATTTCTGCAGGAAATTACATAATCTCGGGTTGTACTAAACTAAGAATTTGGCTTGCAGTAACCCAAAACATATTTAGACACTTCAGTCACATTTAAAAATGCATGAATGTCATTGCATTACATAACAAAATATGAAAACCAAGTAGCATTAAATGGAAAGAATGCCATCTCAAACTCAAGTGATCTAATTAGTAATCTAATCAGCTTCTAAAACATAAACATTTGTAGGTCTCTGATGATGTTTATACATAAAATTCTTATGAACCCTTTTAGGCTTAGAGAATATGTTGATTTTATTGTAGTTAATTAATCACATTAATTATAAATGTTCAGAACTATCATATTTAATGCATTATATATACAATATATACAAAAGTGTGAAAAAATTCAGTGTATTAATATTTTTTGTCAATTAATAATTCATTCACTATAAACTATCAACATATTAATTCAATATTCTCTATATAAAACATATGATATAGAAAACAATGAATTTAATTTCTAATTTAATAAAAAACAATGTCAAATTAGGTGAACGCATTTGGATATAATCTATGGAGCCCCGCACATGACATGCAAGAAAAAATAAATAATTAGTGCGCACGATTTACTAATTCGTTCCCTCGATGTACTAAAACGTGCACAGGATTACTATTTCGTTCCCTCAATTTGCTAAATCGTGCGCACAATTTACTAATTCGTTCTCTCTATTTATAAATTGTGTGCACGATTTAGCAAATCGAGGGAACGAATTAGTAAATCGTGCGCACAATTTATAAATCGAGGGAACGAAATAAACCGTGCACACGATTTAGCCTACTATTTTTTTCCTGCATGCCATGTGCGGGGCTCCGTAATAATCATAACATTTCTATAAAATTGCAAAATGTACGCTATTATATTTCTAAAGCTGTGCAAGCTTAAATGTCCTATGTTTTTACTGTCAGTATCCAAATTGTATGTCTCAATGTTATATTGTACATTCAGTTCATCTAACTGAATAAAAATGTAAGCATTATGCACAAATAATACATATGAAAATAACATTTTTCAAGTATATGTCTCAGATGTTTCTCTTAAAATTCCTTAGAAGTAAAAAAGACAATTGCTAGGAGTACTAATCAAAAGTTTTGGAAGAATTTGATGAGAAATTAAATTTCATATTATAACAACTTAATGGCAGACTTGGGTATTTTGGCTAATCTAACCAAAGTTTGAGACACCATTGGGACCAGTGCTCAGTTTTAAGTAAAACTCTCAATTTTCTGTCTTCGAAGAAATAATTGAGTCGTTTTTTTTTTTTTTTCTCCTGTGGGGAGTTTTGGCAAAAATATCATTTGAGACTGCCACAACATTTGATTGTGAGCAAGAAGACCTATAAAAAAAGACATTCTGAACATTGCTTTAGCATTGATTTCACAGTAACCCACAGTCTCTTTCAGAACAAAACCTATTACATGGGGCTTGTAGAAACACACATCTCCACCGAATGCTCTTAGACATTCAGCAGAACGGAACATTCTATTTCACCTCTAAGCTTGACGGCCTCCGCTAAGACACATTAAACCTCTGCTGCATTCTTCTGGGGCTGAATGGGGATACTGGGCTTCATTTCTTTGTATCTGTGTCACTAAAGATGCCTAATAACCTGGAGTCTGCCTCCCATTCTCTAATTAATGAGTGGAACACAGTGAGCCGTGAATGCGGCACACCATTGAGCTCAAACACCTTGCCAGGTGGCCGCCATTATGTTTGGACCACGGCTATAAATAGGCCAAGAGAAAGAGAAAGCTGCCTACTGTTTATTTTAGCTTCTGTTGCTAACATGTAAAACTGTGTAAACTAGTTTGAGTTTAGTTTGAGAGGTAGGGATGTAAAGTGTAAATACACAGTCAACCTGGAAATATCTGAGAATTTTAAAATTTTAATTTCCAGGCCAGCGTTAAAATGTTTAACTGGCTCTTTGTGAGCGCAAAAGAGTAATACAAATACCTTATCTTTATCGCAAATGACAAAGTCATGGAAATTCATTGTCTAAAGGTGTGGGAAATCTGTGTTTAAAAGCTAGGTAGCTAAAATAGAGCGGCAACATTACTAATTTTATTACACTTATCAGTAGTGTAACACTAGTTTAGCTGTTTTTATCTGTTTTTTAAGTCACTTTTTTGTGGGCTGCTCTTCTATAATTTTTTTTTCATACAGTAAGCATTTTAGGTTACCTTCTTTATATAAAGAAAAGTTCATTTAAATGATATTCATTAAAAAAAATGTTTTTCTCTGATTATAGAGTCTCTGACATTGCTAATAAAATCGTATATATTTAATAATGTATTAATATATTACCCCTCTAAGGCCTGGTTTCACAGACAGCGCTTAGACTAAGCCAAGATTAGGCCATAGTTCAATTAGGACATTTAAGTAATTTTTATAAACATGACTTAGAAAAAAACATTACAGGTGTGCATCTTGAGACAAAACAAGGGCACTGACATATTTTAAGAGCAATCAGTGCAAGTCTCTTTCAGTTGAAACAGCTCAGACTTACATTTTAGTCTGGGACTAGGCTTAAGCATTGTCTTTGAAACCAGGGGTAAGTGTCTTATCTTTATGTATAGCTAAACATTTAAAGTAGCTTGACTGTAACTACAGTAGTTAACATTTGAAGTGGATTAAAAAAGTTAATCAAATTTGTCCTAAAACAAGAACGCTTCTGTCGAATCGCGATCTCGATTCCATTTCGATTTATCGTGCAGCCCTAGTTTGGATCCACTTCAAATGTTGACTACTGTACTATAAATAGGCTTACCAAGCTCATTTTAAAGTATCTTCCCCACCATTATTAAAGATACAGACAAATAAGAATGAAAACAGAATGAAGCATTTTGTGTGTGTTTAGCAACATCATCACAACAAGCAGAAAAAACCTTAAGTGAAGCACATCTTTTGGAATTTCTAGAACTGATCAAATAGTATGCATGCATTGATTATTGTAAAGACAGTTACATAGGATAAATGCCCAAACATGACAAAAATTACTTGCCTTGACTTTAACAATAGCATGCAACCTTGTTTTTACTTACAATGGCGTTTTATTAGTTTGATTTAACCTTGGTTTTGAGGTCCACTGGGTGCACTGAACGCATGCTGGCTGCCTTAAGCCTGTGGATCGTTTCAGACGTGAGGGGGGGAAAATCTGGATCGTCATGAGGAATTTACCTGCTGCCTACTGGTCGGCCAGGACACTCTTGAAAACGAGATGAGCTCATCTCAAGAGGGGCTCCTGGTCAAATAATTTTTAAATAAAGATAGATACATCAATTGTACAACATGTCATTCTGGTTAATGCATGGTAACTTTAGTTTTCTTTTTTTGTCAAATTCGTTTGCTTAGAACGAGACAAGCATTTGCAGTCCAAAAAACAGTACATGGAGCACCAATCATGTCACGGTCCGTATTTTTCCCTTGTATGAGACAAGACCCCTTGTTTTAGTTGGACTAATGTCAAATCAAAAGTTTTGTTTTGTAAGTGCTGACAACTTGCAGTGGCAATCTAGTACAAGCCCGTTCTCCACATGAAAGGACAAATGCACGTCTTGGCTTTGTTTACACCGGTCGTCTCGCGTTGTGACTGGCGTTTAAAGGGTGTTAACGTCAATGCCACAAACAGAGATGGGTGCAGATAGAATCCTAGTTTTGAATTCGGACAGCGTAATGCATACTGTCGTCTTAGGGTTTCATTTAATCGAATTGAATTTGATTTGATTTGGCCTGATCACGTCAATTCTTATCTGTTATTGATTAGTTGTGACGTGCATGTCACAATAGTGTGGGCATATTGATCCAAACCAATCCAATCCAACTTTTAGTGCAAGGCAAGTCAATAGCGACATGCCAGAATTTAGCAAATAAACACAAAAATAAAAAGAACCAAGAAAAAAGGTTAAAAGATAACATTAGAACCTATATCTAAATTTTTTTTTGGATGCAGGCAAGCAGGTGCTAATTTTTTATTCGATCCCAATGACTGTATAATGGAACTTAAAAAGGGATATTCTTTTATATTTCTAGCATGTTTCATGCAATCACGTTGTGAAATTATGCAGGGCTTCATGCTATATTAGTATACGTCATAACCGATTCATATGCTTAAAGGAGAAACATTTACTTTGCGTTTTCAGGTCACATCTTAAATTATCTTCTGGTTTTATCTTATGAACTGTGAAATCAAAAGGTGCACAAAGAAACAAGACACAGTTTATACTTTGTATCATATAATCATATCAACCCCTTTTTAAAAGAAATACATATTGTGAAGCTATGCTTGGATGTGACCACTTGTGCTTCACTTCAAATCTGGTCTGTCACAAACTAGTTAAATATTCCTATTGAATAAAAGATTCATGGAAATGTTGGGTGAAGAGTAACAAGGCTCATGCTCTAGACCTACTGTAAACCGTAGTGACAGAGAATTCAATTGAATAGCACAAAAAAGTGGTGACAAGGTCATAGACCGAACCCATTGAATGGGGCAGAACATCAAACCGATGTTCTATGAATGTTCAGAATGCATTAGCTCACATTTGAATTCCACACAATTCAAATCCATGATGGACGGTGGCCTGTATCTCAACAATGAGACAAAGACTAAAATGTGCAGCATTACAGAACCTGATGTGTCTTAAGACAGCTTGAATAAAATCCCTTTTTTATTTTCCATTGTTCCTTTGAAACTGGTTGAAAGAGAAATCCTTCTTTTCAGTATTTCTATGAAGAGTGGTGTGAGTGATAATGGATTTGTGTTTAGTGGGGAAATGTTAAAAAGTACATCAAGCCGACTGGTTTTAAAATAAGACTTTTTTTTTTAAAGCATAGTACAAAAATAATGCTAATTTTAGGACATGCTTTTATGGAGAAGAACATTCAGTAAAGGAGCAAATGTATTGTAGTGAAAAATGAGGAGGGTGTTTAAGGTGTTTCTTAAATTTAAATGTGATATTTCAGATGTTAATGCTGTCATTTAATGAATGTTGAGGCGACTCATGCAAATTCTGCACAAATAAACTCCAAAAAATAACACATTTGGAAAATAAACTTTAAATGCTGCTTTGGAACAATATGTTTTGTGAACAGAGTTGTTCAAATAAAGGGGTTAACACTTTACAATAAGGCTCAATTCATTAACATTAGTTAATACATTGGGTATCATGAACTTTTTTTTCAAACATTTATTAATGTTAATTCATAAACATGCCATTGCTAACATGTAGGGTTCAAATTAGATTTATATAAATTCATACACGGTAAAAACAATTTTTTTGACGCGAAATAAATAAAATATTGGTTATTGGAGTATGTTTTTAAAATCCATTTTCAGTCTTTCTACTTCAAAATGTCATGTTTAGTTCAGTGTGTTTCTTTGTAAAATAATTGTGAAATTTACAAACCGTACAAAGAGCGAAAATTGTTTGTACTGTAATAAATGCTGTACTGTTCAATGTTAGATCATGGTTCCCAATCTACTAACTAATGTTAAAAATGGATCCTTATAAAATTATACACAAGTGTTAGCATTGAATTAAACTGAATTGAAAAGCCTGTTATAATGTTTTAAAATTTATTTATTTGTTTTAAGACAAAAAAGTAAATAAATATAATAAATTAAGCACTTTAAACGAGCAGGGACTATACTAACATGTGAAGAACTGGTTCTAATTGATAGGTAATTATTTCAGCCCTTGCCCTTTAGTGCACCAGCTCAAAGGGCACTGCTGCGGTTAGGGGTCAAGGGAGGACGGGGTGGTGCTCATACCCAGGTGTGCGAGGTGGGGGAGTGGAACGGAGGCTCATGCTGGTGAGGGTTTGCCTCCGTCCACCCTCCATGCGTCCATTTGGGGATGACATTGAACCAAAACCAGCAGGGCGACCAGCCCCGGGCAGGACGGCTACATGCACTGTCACTTACCGACAGACCAATTACTTAACGCTAGCATTTACAGTTAGTTCTAGCGATTTATAATGGCTATAATCCATGCCTCCGTCCACCCTCCATGCGTCCATTTGGGGATGACATTGAACCAAAACCAGCAGGGCGACCAGCCCCGGGCAGGACGGCTACATGCACTGTCACTTACCGACAGACCAATTAAAATCTAGCGATTTATAATGGCTATAATCCATACGAAACATTTGGAGAAAGAAAAAAAGAGAGAAAATAAGGTAGCATATAATAGACACGTCATGCAACACAATGGTAGATGATTGAGGTGCGATGAAGGACAGGACACAAACGCGCAACAAACACTCACGAGGTTCAGGCATTAGACTAGAAGAGAAGGCGAGGGTTGGGTTTCTGGTCTTACCGATGCGGTCCAAACGGTCGATAGCCACGGTTTCGAAAGCGCGGCGCATCATGGGATATTCCTCCAAGACTTCGTTGAAATGGTCCACGGACAGTGAGAAAAGTCGGCAGTAGGTGTCAGCGCGGACGCTAGCTGTACGACGACCTTTCGTCAACAGGCAGATCTCTGTGGGAAACAGATGAATTGAAGATATTACATGTTTTATATAATGGAGGTCACTCGTTGGAGAAGGAGGCCGGTTGAGCATCAGATTAGCATATAAACATAGCATGAGGGTGTGAATTCACATGACGTATCTGGTTTAATATGTTATTCTGTGAATATCAAAAATGAATAAGATCACTCTTACTGGTTGGTTTTGGAACACACTTTATTTGCAGGTCATGTGCTAACTGAATTTAGCATTTACCTGTGTCGAAGCTCTGATGCAAGTCATGTGAGAAGGAATTAAAGCTGTTTCTTTTGGATTGTTTTTTTTTTTTACCTTTATTTAACCAGGAAGTCTCATTGAGATTTCAAATCTCTTTTTCAAGAGAGACCTGGCCAAGGTAGCAGCCATAGAGTAAGCAATAATAATAATAATAATAATAATAATAATTTATTTGCTCAATTGATTGTTTCTTTTTTGTTTGTATTTTTGTAATATAAATATAATTACTTTATTTGTATAATAACAATAACATTTTATTTATAATTATTTATATTATTTATAATAATAATAATAACAATAATAATAATAATAATATTTTAAAAATGTATTTGTTCAATTGATTGATTCTTTTTGTTTGTATTTTAGTAATATATTTGCTTTATTTGT